TTTGATATATCGATATTTATCTATGTTTACCGATAATTATCGGTATATAATATATTTACAAACTACCATTATTAGCACAGGTCTTGTATTAAATATAGTAGAAGTAATATCTAATCATATTATAACCGCTAAAAACGCTATGAAACCGACTGCCTTTATGATTTTGTCGCAACAAAATCTAATAAATCAAAAAAATAAGATAAAATAGATATCATTTTGGTATATCCCGAAGTTGACCAGTACATATTATAGTCCATATAGAATCTATATAAATAGTCTTAGTATTAAACGTTGTGCAGCCTTTACCTTTTTGTCGCGCACTGTGTATATAATATATTAATATATAAGTTTTTCTTTTGCATTATTTAAAAAATGAGTTTAAACGCCGTAACTGACATAAATGAAATTCCAAAATGGAGTTCTCCGCGTATTCTCCAATATTTTACAAAATTAAGTCAATATATATACAAATGTAATATTTGTACTAAAACTTATAAAACACCAAATGGCGGAGTTCAAAATTTAAGAACCCATTTAATATCGGAAGCTAAAAAAAGACGGGATACAAATGTCAGTGACATTAGTGACCAAGGTTTATAGATTATCTATAAACCTTGATTAGTGACAACCACAACTTTACTAATTAGTATTTACCACGGACTAAGATATCTTAGTCATCTTAGTCCGTGGTAATTACTATTAAAATGTTGTTGATTGTTGACATTTTATTATCACGATACTATTGATAATACAATACGATAATAATAAGCGTTTTATGCGCAACCTGGTTTGTCCTACGCACATGCGCAGAAGTATGGAACAACATGTGCAGCGCAGCCACCGTTTACGGCGGGAACTACTTTAGCTTGTTCCGTCTATGAGTAATACCATTGAGTATAAAGTATTAAGGTCTATGGATACCACCGCGGCACCACGGACTAAGATATATCTTAGATCTTTCCACGATTATATTAAGATACATCTTAAATCGTGGGTCTATCTTAAACCGTGGTCCGTGGATACCAGTATACCACAGACAATTTATACAGAATACCATTTTATCACAATCATGGAATAAACATTAGTACCAGGACCAAGGTGAATATATCCACCTTGA